TTAAAAAAATTATATGTTCCATGGAACTCCTTGCCACTCTTGTTGTTAAAGCCATGTAGTAGATAACTACTAAGACAACTACACTTATATCTAAGGAGAACAAGAGTTATGGTAAAGATTGAATTTATTCAGGATAAATATAAACCCTCTTACTTGACTTCTGACTGGCAGGGACTGGGAAGAAAGTTCATCACTGGCAGGTCATTACAGTACTCCTGTGGCCTAGTGGTCCCCAGGGACTCCTGTTACAAGTCTTGCCGTTTCTATGGCTCTTAGGCACTGGTGAATCATCACAAGTGTCTCAGCATCTCTGAATAGTGAGAAATCCCCAGCTTGCAGGAACTAATCCTCCAGTACTGAGGTCTGAAGCAGGGGTGGTACCCAACATGTAGGGTGGGGTAGCCACTGGATTTAAAAATTGGATCCCCAGGGAGATCATCTGATGGTCTTAGAGGAATGATGGGAGAAGTTTTTTTTCTTTTTCCCCTTCTTACCCCCACCCCCAGTAAAGCCAGGATTCAAGGGACTGATTTATTCTGTATTTTTGAAAGTGTTCTTAGTGGAGTTCTCTCACTCTTCCTTAGATCTTAAGTTCAGGAGATTTTTTTCTAATGCTAGCATTTATTAACATTCTTTCACTTATCTGCTCCCTGCCACTCCCAGTTACTGTTAAATGTCTTAATTACAAAAAAACCCAAAACAAACCAACAAACTAAATTCCAATAATTTATTTATTTTTAAGAAAAAAGGAGAGGGAGAGAAGAGAACTGTTAGCAAATATAGCATGGAAGGGGAAACTACTGCATTATTTTAGTTGCCTGACAGTCTGTATTGCTTTTGTCAGACAAAGAATTATGTCTGGACATATTGAACCCAGTTTTCAAATGCAAGCACTGAATAAAGTACTAAAGGCGTTGCCAAATTATTGTTATCACAAACAGTTCTAATAACTTCTATTACAAAATAGATTTTTTTCCATGATAAAACCTTTTCAATCATTTAGCAAAACTGTTATACATACTGGTTTTGACAAAACAGTAGAGATGAAATGTCATTGAACAAGAAGCTAAAGGAGCATTTGTTGCTCTGTCTTCATATTCCCATTGACTTTTTCAGTTCAGTAACGTTTCTGCTTCCATTTTGTTATATTGGGGTCCACAGCTGGTATTTAGGTTTCTTTGTTGAACAAGCAATTTAATTGCATGCAAATTAATTTTTTGATCCATATGTAATGGTAGAAAGCAAAATCATAAATTACTTGAAAATCTGATTTCTGAAGGGAATAATATTTATGTAAGTTACTTCGTTTTGTTCCAGCTCACTGTCTCCTCCTCACCAACCCTGCTGCCCACTTTGATCCCAATTTTGCACAGCTGTACTTCCCTTTTGAAGATGTGTTTTCAAAGGCTTCATTAAACTTCATGGCCGTTTAGAAGAGTGAGACCGGAGTTAATGCTCTCACCGAGAAAAAGGCAGAAGCACAGACTTGAGTCCTATCTCATTTGCGTTTCATCAGCCAGTACACTTACAGCATGCGTGGCTGGGGGCAGGCGGGTGTGTAGGGGAGACTGTCATGTCCTTGGATACGCCCCTTAGACATCTATAGAGCACACAGGTTTATTGCTTCTGCCAGTCAACAAACAAGATGTAATTTTGCTGGTGATACTGGTTACAAAGCACCAAAGTTGGGTTTGAGCAGGAGCCCAGAATCAAGATCAGACTGGACTTTTTGAAACTGAAAAATGTGAAATTTATTGTTGAACTTTGAAGAACTGAGGAAAGTGTGCACGCAGAAAAAGTCAATTAAAAAAAAAAAAATGTTACTAACTGCATGTAACCCTAAAGGTTCACAAGCTGCAAAGCCACTAAAAGAGGCAGTAAATAGCCGCAAGCCCAGGACTGGTAACATAGAAGCTTTCCCTTTGTCTTGAAATAGGAGATAAATTATGGTCTAGGTATCATGCAATCTGTTATTCAAATTATGGCATCCTTTGTGGTTTTTTTGTTCTTGTCTAGCCATTGTACTTTCTCTCCATGCTGCCTTATCTTGTGCTGCAGTGGCCACATGTATTTCATAATAAGGCAAACTTGAATTGCAGATCCAAGTGAGAAGCGTTGCAAAAGTATTCCTGCAATTTTTATAGATGTCTGGTGGCGAGGGAAGTCTGCCTTGGTTCCCTCCTATCTGCCTCCATTCCTTCCAGGAGAATGCAGGGAGACTAACTTCTTTGGCTTTCACCATTGCTGGTCTCTAGAAAATTTGATCTCTGCTATAATATCTATCTATATCTAAATCTCCTCTCTCATAATATATACTGCAGTACACCTAATATTAAGTAACTAATATAAAATTTAGCATAGCACAGAGGATCACTTAATTTTTGGCCATTTTCACTGCTCCCTTTGAACATTTCTTCTCTATGTGGATTGTTTTTGTCTTGGAGTAAATGCTGAAGCCACTGGAGATTACAGGATTCCAGGCATATGTCAAGGGTGTTGCAAAGATAGGGGAGAACGGGACATCTTTAGAATTAGCTTAATAAAGAGAATGTCCAAGGGCCAAAAGTGTTGCACACAAAGGCAGGTGGAGTGGCCTGGTCTGATTTGATTCTTCTGTTTAATTCCCCGAGTCCTTGAGTCTCCAAGCCAGCTGGGTTGGAATGAGTAGGAAAGCAGAATATTTTGTGTTTCTCAGGAGTGATTTATTTGTAGAGGTGAAACCAGGGAATTTCCCTCTGTGTGAAACTATCTGCTCCTTGGCTTCAAACGTTCAATAAGTTCTCCGCCAAGGAATGTTTGTCCTCTCGAGACAGATCAATGAGCATGTACAGATTATAACTAACCTTTTACTTAGCTTGCTCTGTGCATAGTGACCCACTGTTGACTCAGTGCCTTGGTTACTGGTCATTTGTGCAGCGTTCTCCCTCCTCCATTAATTTCACACATCAATTTGTCTCCTGTGACCAGGGGAGAAAGCGGTGGGGGAGGAAGAGGACTTCTAATGCAAGACGTACTGGCAAACTCTGTGACTGAATAGAACATAATTTGGAAAAAGCTTCTGAAAAGCTGTTTGCACGGGGAAGCATTCGAAGACAAAATGTGATTGTACAGATACATATACAGGAGAAAATTAGGGCAAAGGGAAGGATCTTAGTTGTGACTAAAGCAGAGACATGTATGTGGTGCAGCTGTTTTATCTGCAGTAATTATTTCATTCTTCATGGTGAAATAATAAGCACAGTTTTAAATTTAACCCTGATTTTAAAAAATGCAATCACACTTGGCATTGATTGCATTTGAATAATGAAAAGCTTTAGCTTTGTAAGTCTAGACTGTGGGGTGATGTACTTGGTACTAGCTTGACAACTTAAATTTGGAGGTTGTCGGAGCAATAGTACACACTGTAAAAGCATGTTTATCTCAGGGTGGTGGCTTCCTTTTTTTTTTTTTTTTTTTGGTACTTTAATGTTGCTATTTGAGATAGCCAGGGACTTGCTTGATAGAGTAAAGGGGATGCACATCTTCATTTAGAAAGAGAGAGGTGTAAATGGGAGTGGAGGGATTGGCAGTCTTCAGAGCCACCCAACAGAGGAAGCCTTGTTGTAGCACAGAAGAAATAGCAAATGTAAGGTTTAACTTGTTTTGACTTGTGAGACTGACCTGTTTCGTTTTCAATTTCACTTCTACTTTAAATAGAGATTATAGTAAATGGTCATTTGTTCATGTTTTTCCAGTTGAAGATATATTTTGCTTCTTTAACAGGGCAAAAAGGACGTTTCCCAGATATTTAACAACATCTTGAGAAGACAAATTGGCACACGCAGCCCTACTGTGGAATACATTAGCGCCCATCCACATATCCTATTCATGCTTCTAAAAGGGTGGGTACTTTAATTTGATTTTCATTAAAGAGCATTGCCTGAAACATGCTGGCATTGCAGTTGATCTGCTTTCTCACTTTTAGTTAAAATAAAAAAAAAGGATTTTCAGATTTTGTTCCAGATTTCTTATTTTTTTCTTTCTTACTGACTTTCTTTCTGCTTAACTGTATACTTTTTAATGAGTGGTTTATTTTATTTGGCTGTTATTTCTGCACCAGGCTTCATGTTGGAATAATTATGGGCTGATTATTTTTGACTGCTCCCCACATGATGTGTACTTCAGTTTTGCCCTGAACTCTTGTGTAGCATTGTTAATGACTGCGGAGTTTCATTTTGACCTTTTTGCATTGCAGAAGTGGCTTACAGCAGTGCCTGTACATAAATGGAGTAAAATGCTGGACCACCATGTGGTAGAACAGAGAGAAGGATACTAAAAAGAATATAGAGGATATAAAAAGAATAGTTGTGCTTGTGGGGCAGACTTCTCCAATGCTTGTAGCCACATGTGAACTTCAAGCTTAAATTAATTCAGTAATGAACTCCACAACTTTCAGCATTAATTTTTTTTTTTTTTTTGTCTTTTAATCTTTGAGGGAGTCAGTGCTCAGCTGTAAGCCAGTGGTTCCCAAGGACAGGGAGTAGGTTGCTGTGTCACCTGTAGTTGCATTCAGGAGTGCATGAGTGTTGGCCTAAAACTCTTCAGGTTTCTATCCCCTTTACTTTTGGCCAAAAGCACCTTCTCTTCAGTGAGAAGCTTTGCTTTTCCAACCTTTGAAGTCTACTGTTTTCTATGTGGTTTTCTGGGGTTTCTAAACTGCAGAAGCCAAAGAAGGCAAAACTTCAGAATTTTTTTTATTTTTCCATAAGGAAAGCAGAATATATGTGATTAGGGTTAAAGAACAGATGTAGAAATAAGTGCATTTATTAGCTGATCAGTATGAAACAATGTGGACTCTCAGTAGTTGTATGGTCACACTAGCAACAGCCATTAAAACATGACATAAGCCTTTTAAACTAATGGTTCTTAAGAGAATGAATTTTTAAAAATTTCTTTCTTGCCCTTGAGATTTGCATTTTTACCGTTTACTCCACAGTCAGAGTTAGAAAAATACTTAAGCAGCATCTAAAGTTTGTGCATGATAACGCTGCAGCCCCAAGGGTAAAATTCCTGTCAGCCTCCCCCCTCTCCCAGGGGCAGACCAGAGAAGGAGAGTGATAGGCACAGAGGTCCTCTAAAATAGTTTTTTCCTTCAAAATTGACCACATGCCAGCACAGCTGAGCAGGGAGAAAAATAACTGAGAGAACTAGTCAGGACCAGGGATTTCAAGAACTGAGAGCTTGTAGTTGAACGTGGTGGCAAAGTTCTTGGTTGCTGCCATAGGAGGAGGTCTGGACCTGCTGCCTTCCTCACAGCAGGGCAGTGAGGAACCCAGGCAGGTGGCTGGGCTGAGCTAGGTCTTGCTCTTACAAGTATAGTGATTCATTGTGATTTACCTTTATTTTTGAAACTTTTGATTTCTTTTCTGTACTGAACACCAGCTTCCTCAGGCAGGAAACCAGTAAGTGAGTTAAGTGGATTTTGGTTTCATTTGTTCATTAAAATTCACTCTTTATATAAACCTCAAACTAGTCATTTTGGGAGAGTGATAATTCTCTCAGTGTCATTAAGTTGTACAAGTGTTTTCAATTTCATATACAGATACAGTAATTTTCTTCCCTTTTCTCTTTTTTTTGATTTTTTTCACTCATTTTTGCATGTTGCGCATGTATCGCTACCATATATCTGGGCTCTATTTGAAGTTAAAAAATATTTTTGGATCATGTCCCAGATATACTTTGGCATCTATAACAACCACGAATGTTAAGATGATAGTAAAGACTTTATGTTATGCATATGTGCTGCTGACAGACATTGTACTGTAGGTGACCTAAGCCAGTGGGTGTATTTAAATGGCATCACTTAGGTGCTTTTTGGAGACTGCTGCTGCGTGCAGGAGTGTGTCTGTGTTAGTTTGGTCCTCAGGCTCCTTGTTCTTGATTTTTTTGTCTTTTTCTTCAAAGCACTGCACTGTACCAGAATTGCCATTTCTGGAGTTTCTCGTTAAAAAGTGCTTTTGAACTCATCAGCAGTAGTCCAGAAGAGAGTCCTATCCAGCCTTGATGGCATCTGAGCAGTTGTGACAACACAGTGTAATCATGTCAAACGCGATGCTGTCTTACCTGCCTATGTCCTGCTACCAGGGCTGTCTCAAAATGATACTTAAAATATGTGCCTAGAGCAAAGGTAGGACCCTGAACATGCAGCTTGTGCATGCAGGCAGCGTGTGGTGCTTGTGTGCAATCAGTTATGAGACTGGGAAACACACATTTCATGTTGGACACCACCACTTGGAAATGTGACTTGAGGACACATTTTCGTATTTATTTAATGCTAAATGAAATACATGCAATCAAAATCTGCTTAAAGAAATGGAAAGTGGATTTGGCTGGCTCATACCATTCAGTGTTTGTTATATGACATTATTTGGAGAGAAGAGAAAAAAAAAAATATTTCAACCATGACTAAAAAAGAAACAGCCTGGGACTATTGTGAAGGCTTGTCATTGTTTTACTTGTATTGGATGCAAAATTTCCTCTGCCCCCTGACAGTCAGTTCCCAATAGCATCAACAAAAGGTTACTTTTTCATTGCATAATGTGAGCTCTGTTGAGTGGGAAGGATCCTGAATCAGAGCTCCCGCCCAGCGTTTCCTGCCTAATACTCCAGTGGCGCTGCCAGTATGAGATAACTGTTCTTACCTTTTAGGCTTCGTTTTACTTGTTGGCTACTTCCTTCCACCATCTCAGCTTCAGAAAAACATACAACACATAGTTCACTACTTTTTGGGTTTTTTTACTTTTTTTTTTTTTTTTTTTTGGTTAACTGACCTTTCTGCTGCATGAGGACTTGCTTTGATAGTATCTTATTTTCTGTGTGTGCAGGCTTTGTGTGTGAATAGGATTTCAGATGAATAAAATATTATAGAGTACCAGATATATTTGGGCAAGATTTTTTTCTCTGGTGTCAGCATATTGCATTAGCCCAGAAATAACTTTGGTTCTTTGTAATTTAAAATATTTTCCTTCTAGTACAGTGACTGTAGAGGACTCAAAAGTTTGTGGCGCTTGCATTGTTTCTCACAAGTGGCAAATTTATAAGCTCCTTTGTGAATATATATTATGCCACGTGCTATCTAATGTACTCAGTCACTGCCCCAGTCTGTTTTGTGATGATTTCTTCTTATCACAGTGCAGTTAAGACTTTAATGGTATATTGGCTGAAGTTGCAGAATTCTTCTTGAGTTTATCGAAAGATAAACCCAAGCTATAGAAGTTAGTGTAAAATCAGATCAGAATATAGCTGTTTGTCAAGACCTTGCATCTCCCAGGCTTGATGCCTTCCTAATCTCTTGCCTGTGCTCCTTACCTTGTACCTCTTCTGCACTAGCCATGTGAGTATGATTCCCGTTGTGCCGAGATGCATCTCTGCTCTCAGTCTTGCCTTGTTCAGTTTCAACAATAAGTGTTTTGAAATATTTCAAGTCCATTGTTTCCTTTTATGGTTGCCCCCCGTAGTCAGTGTGTGGGGGTTTCTTTAGGTTATAAGTTCATCTGAACAGAGAATAACTGTATTTTTTTTCAGCTGCGGGACTACATCAGCATAGAGCACTAATTGCTCATTAGAAGTGATTTTGTGCTCATTAGAAGTGATTTTGAAACACATCTCTTTTATTGCTGCCTGGTGGCTTTGCATGTAAGTGTGGGTGCAGAGATCATGCCAGTTATGACCGGGCAGCCCATAAACTTCTTCCAGGCATATTCCAGCAGCCAAACCCAACTTCCCTCGCTTATGTGAACAGCCAAAGGTCTGTAACCCACTTCCAGATAATGGAGCATTTGACTAAGAATGATTCTGTTGATACTTATGCTTTAAAAATGTTATTGTGCTGGAAACAATGTAATTTGCTTTTATTCCAACCAAAATATTCCTTAGCCAACTATTAAATATTTTCCTGGCTGTGCTCCTAGGAGCAACTCCGCCTGTTTTCTGCTTGAAAATTAGTATACCTGTTAATGGAGTCAAGGAGAGGTATGCCTCCACGGGAAACATCAGCGAATCTCCATTGTCTAAAGAGTTATAAATTCACATTTGCAAATGTTTCCCAAAAGGAAACAAACAGGGGCTTGAGTGCCTGCATTTCCTTGAGGGTGGGAAGTTTAATTTGCCTGTTTGGAATAGCAGTTCATTTTTCATTAAGCCAACTATTGTTGACATCAGGTTGAAGTATGCAACTCTGGTATGCTCGCAAAACTCTACCATTCTTTGAAATTGCAAGCTGATGGTAAATTTGAGGGCCCACTCACTTACAGCACAGATGGCATTTTGTGTTTTTCTTCTTCTTTTTTTTTTTTTTTTTTTGGCCTAGCGTTAGGAATTAATTGTGCAAAGGAAAAATGATGCTGATAAGCTCTGGGTGATAACACGCAGTTCTGATATAGTATAGCCAGCTTATTGAAACAGACCGTGCTTTCTGTCCGCTTGGGCTTCATCACTTTCACATGACTGAAGATTGCTGGAAGAAATTTAAGTCCTTCCTGACTGTTGGATTTCATCCTTTTTTTAAATTCTGTTTCTAACAGTTTTGTTTCATATTAATTTCAGCTTTAAAGAAACCAAGACTTTATAGAATAGAAGATGATCTGAATTGCCTCCCCCCTCCCTCCATTTCTAAGATTAAGTAGTGTGCTGGCTCCTGGCTATTGCAATGGTTGTGCCATAACAGGATTGTAACTTGAGGAACAAATACTTGTCTCCTGAACGAAGTTGTAGCCTCTGCAGAGGAGGGATTAAGCAGAATTCCCCCTAAACTGCTAAAAAGATCTTTACAGCTACAGAATGCTTAATTCTGTGTAGACTGCCTGGACACACTCTTCCTACCTTCCTCAGTAGACATTAATATCCTACTGCGATGTCCTCTAGCAGGAGAGTGGGAGGTGATGGATAGTCATGAGGTGTTATATTTTTCTTGGATAAACTGAAGGAGCTCAGAATTAAATCTGAAAAGGGAGATTGTTATGTTATATGGGCTTTACTTTCTCATCAATCCAGGGTGAAGGAGTGCTGTTGAAACATTATGTGCTCCCCACAGTCTTTCTGTAGAGAGGAGGTGTAATGCACATTTACACTGAAATGTGTTTCGGCTTGGGAGGGCAGAGGTTTGCGGTGGAAAATGCTGGCAGCCTTATCTGTGCGTCCACTCCTTAGCTTTGGGCTCAGGTCCTGAAGCTGGGTACAGTGCTCTGGCTGGGAATTGCCATCCGTGTGTTGTGTCTCCCCTGGCACATGCGTTCCCTATGCTACAAAGTTCCCCATTGCTGGAAAAGTGCCTGGTTATCTTTGGTCTTCTAGGTTTTAATCTTTTTTTGTTTCTTCTCATTCTTCAGATATGAATCCCCAAATATTGCCTTACGCTGTGGAATTATGCTGAGAGAGTGTATCCGGCATGAACCCTTGGCCAAAATTATACTTTTTTCGGAACAGTTCAGAGACTTTTTTAAATATGTGGAAATGTCAACATTTGATATAGCTTCTGATGCCTTTGCTACATTCAAGGTAAATTATTTGATACCTGCATCATAGTGTTGTGTCAAAAATGGCACTTTGTCAGTAGTCATCACTGAATGTTGTGTTGCCTTTAAACTGGGTGGCTTTTTTTATTGCTCAGTAAAGGATTTAATTAATCCTTGGTCTGTTTGTAACAGGATTCACAATAATGATCAAGTCTGCAAAGAATCTTTAATTGAATACAGATTTACATTTCACTAATGTTCTTCATCTTGATAACCCAAGGTCTTTTATGCAACCATTTAAAACTCCAATTAATCATGTATTTACAGTTCTTGTAACATGCATAACCTTTTTCTCTCCCTACCTTCCCCTGGAGACAAAACCACTACCCATCATGACCACAACCAGTAAATAAAAGGAATCATTTAAAATTCACTTTTGAAATCCTCATAATTTTTGCTGACCCTTCTGAGTTCGGCAGTCAGGTATAGATTAATGCTGTGCCTTCTGCCGTTATGTTACAAGCATATGGGTTCGTATGCTTACTTTTCTGACCCATGGTTCAGTGTAAGGAGTGTGCTGCTACAAGCTAAGTAAGTAAAAGCACCGTGTAGACTCTGTATAATACAGATTCTCTGTTGTATTAAAAATGAAGTTGAGTGAAGCTTGACAATTTTCTTGGAGTTTGTATGTGACCAACATCTTTCCCACAAGGTGCGAGTATAGTCTTTGAGGAAAATTTAATACCTATGAGCTTAATGTACAGGGAAGATTAATTTATTTCTGAAAAATAATTTAAGAAAGCTGTGAAAAATTCTTTTCAGGTGAAGACTCTTCTAAATATAGACATAACTCCTTTTTTCTTCTATCATTGGGTTCCTTGCTGTCATAGAAACACGTTGTTCATTCTTTCCTCTCAAAGCTAATTAGAAACACAATTAGATAGACTTTAAGAATAACTGTAAGGAATGCTAGTGTTCAGCTCAGCGATTCAACGCACTCTGAAATGTGGCCTCGGTTTTTGCTAACCTGCTGAATGGGGTAAAGATTTGCATAATGGACACGTTGCATTTTTCAGTAATGAGTTGAGCAGGATTACCAATTCAAACCGCCTATTAATCAACAGCAGCATCTTTCAATTCTTTTAAGTTGCACTGTCATGGCGTTCATTAGGTAAATGGTATGAAAGTGGAAGTAGCACAGAAACACAGACAAGTGAAAGTACAGTGTAGGACTGTATAAAAATACAACATCACTGAGATATTTAAATATTTTGACTCTAGCATTTTACCCTATGCTCAGAAGAGTATTTGTTTCTGGTCAGAAAAAGTGCTCCTGGACTCTGTTCCCAGCTTGACCGAAGAGATTTTTATCTTTTTTTTCCCAAGTCCTGCATTGAGCATGACAGCAGTGTGTGGTTGATGGTAGACAGTCTTCAGCCAGGAGGCAGGATGGGGACAAAGGCCAGTTAAGCTGTGGCAGGTTACCACAGACTGCTGTGAGCCTCCCAAGAAAAGAGAGATTGATGTTGTCCAAGGATCTACAGCAGTGGAACTTACTTCTGTCCCCTGTGATCTGAGTGTATTTATAGCAGGATCTAAAAATAGTATTCCACATCCTCATATGCACTGGAAAGAGAGGAGTATGAGGGCAGTTCATCCTCAGCCATAGAGCAGAAATCACCTTTTAAAATGCTTGGGGAGAATCTGTAAACGGCATTTTAAAAAATTGCCTCTTATTTTAAATTTCCTGACCTGATACATGGTCAGCTCTGGAAATAAAGCAGCTGTTCATCTTATCGCCTCTTTATCTGCTACTCTGAGTAGCTGGAACAGCAAGAAGTGATGTGGAAGTGACTGAATCATGAAATATGGAGCTACTTCATCCCTAATGCCATAAAAATCAGTGCTATGATTGCTCACTGGCTGGATTACTGAACTTGTGTGTTCGGTTCTGTTTCCCCCGTGTTGGGTTTGTAGTGTTGCCACTGGGGTGTCTGGTTCAGAGCTGAAAGCCTTGGATAGTTTATGCACCAGAGGAGGCCTTAATTAAATGTGCATTAAAGTCTGAGGATATTTATAGTAGGAAAGTGCTGGAATTTTTTATGATCTGGAGATGTACTTCATAATTAAATTCAGCCAGGTGCACCACAGAGAGGAGACACAGCTGCTAAAAATGCAGAGGAAAACAGCTTGTATTTAGAGATACAGTGGCCTGCAGAGGGTACCAGCAGTGGCTGGGAAGAGGGCTGACTAAATACTGCAGCTCCATGCTCTCTCATGATTTTCTATGAAAACCTCATTTTGGGTTATATTCCATTTGTGCCCCCTGTTGAAAAATGTTGTACTTGCCTCCTAAGGGTGGTGCATAAAAGCTTGTGAGTCACTTTTGTTGCACTCAGCCTTTTAAACTGCTATAATTGCAGTCCTGCTAAATAAAGGGATGTATTAGAAACACGTACTGGATTTTATAGCACTCTGCTTTCCTCTTATAACTGATAATAAAAATAAATTGAAGGATTAGTGTGATGAAGATTATTTGTGATGCTGTAGAGGATGTGTCTGTGCATCTGCTTCAGCTACTCATCAGCTTCAGTCTCTGACTGTGGGTAAGGAAACTAAGGAAAAGATGATGAAAAAGAGAGCAGAAACTGATTCGTCAAAAAAATATCGACTTGAATGGACTTCATCAGGCATTCATTGTGATTGGTGTTATGTTTTAAAAGAGGCATTAAGATAAAAATTAAACTTAAATGCCTCAAACTGGCCACTTCATTTAATAGCTCTTCATCCAGTAAAGAGACTTGATTTCTTCTGGAGCTGAACATTTGCATCTCTGCTGAGAGCCAGCATTCCTATTATGTGGGAGAGGTTGCTTTAATTTAAATCTGAATTAGCTGGCTTTTAGCATGGAAGGCATCCTATCCAGCTATCTAAAAGGTTTGCTACTGCTTGTGTCAGTAAGCTGACCTTGGGCAGAAAAAGAGCTGCAGAAGGGATTCATCCCACCTACCTGAGACCCCTTTCTGGGGAGCGAGCAGCTGTGGAGGGAGCCTGGACAGCTAGCTTAGATTGGTGCCTAACTTTTGGGCTTTAAATAAATCAATGTATATATCAGTGGATGTATTTGAGTCTTCCTTGTTGCATTCTTGGACATGAGCAATAGCAGTTGATCCAGTTTATCATTAATTTCCAGCTGTAGATCACTTTTTGCTTTGGGACCATAGCTGATCCCTCCATAAAGGGTTAATTTACTTTCTTCCTTTCCCCTACCCCAGTTTATTATAAGTACTGTGCACTATGACCAATGACCATAAGAAAACGTGGGAGGGATTTTAGAGTGTTAAATAGTTTTATATTGATTCTGTTAGCATTAACAGAGTTCTCCTTAAAATCCTACTAAACACACAATGCGGTATTGTTTTTAAATGCCTTCTCTCCATGGAAATCATGTTGTAAATACCTTCTAAAAGATGACCTGGTAAAAAATGGTAAAATACATTTGAGAATCAAGGGACCATCAAATGAGCATGCTCTTTCAGGAAACCTTTCTCTGTTCTTTCCCAGGACCTGTTAACACGACACAAATTGTTGGTAGCAGAATTTCTGGAACAAAATTATGATGTGGTAAGTGTAAGAAGATTTTTTTTTTTTAAATCTGTTCATGCTCACCTGGAAAAAGTGCAATTTCAATAGCGGAGTGTTTCATGCTCCTCATAAAATAGTCACATAGGACTGCAAAGCTAAACATTGCTTTTACTAAAGCAGAATCCTCACGTGGTGTTTGAAATACAGGTACCCCCTCAGTGCTCACACAGGGACATGTGCCAAGGTTTCAGGAGAACTCATAGTTTAAAAGCAAGCTTTATTCCTCTCTGTGTGCATCGTATCTCCTCATATGTGAACAGAACTGTAAACTTTGTCTGTAAATAGATAGTGGGGAAAAAAGGTGCACAGTTTTAAACAGTTTTGTGATATTCCAGCACTGATAGGGCCATACAAGTGCTATTTATAATACTTCAGGACAGAGGAGAAGAGTTACTGGAAGAAATTTTAGCATTACTGGAAATTATATGTACCTAACTGGGAGACTGAGGTGTGAGTATTCCTCTTACCATCCTAAGGCAATTAGTCCCTTGGTTTGCTGCCATTTTTCACTTTGATTTTTTGGCTTGGTTTTGAACCAAATGTGGGTCAGAAAAATTCCATTGGAATCAACTAAAATTGGACTGATAAGGATCATGGAATTAGATTATGGGTTATGTTCTCATGTTACCTGAGATATTCTTTATTTCATTGCCAAAGTGAAAAGGCCAGATTTCTTTCGTTCTAGAGTTACCGGGAAGGTTAAATAGAGATCAGGCTTATAATTACTGAGTCACAAATGCAGCTTAACTGGAGCAAAATTAGTGTCTCTGCTAATCTTTTATCTTAATACTGAAGAACTGCACTGGAACAGTCCCCTTTCTATGTTTATTTAACCCTTAAAATTTTTAAGTATAAATTGTGGAAGTGAGCATTTTTTTTTATATGATTCTTGGACATCAGTGTTGGGTTTTTTGCTTGTTTGATAGATGATTTGAACATACTGCAGCCTTCTCTCTCAGTCTTCTTGACCACAAGATTCCCTTGGCCCAATCCTGCAAAAGCCAACACGTGCTCAACTCCTAGTGGCCCTTTCTGGGCAAACGACTTTAACGAGGGAGGGGGATGAAGGCAGGTGAGGTGGCACCTCACAAAAGGAGCTTTTGGCATATACCAGTACAGGATGCACCATCACCAATTCAGAGTATTGTATTAAATCACATGGCAAGTCATGACCACGATAGGAGTGAGTGGACGTTACGTGCTGGACCCACGTGTCCCGGCAGCAGATTCACGCTCTTGTAGGAGAAAGCTGTACAGGCACTGGCTGACTTCCGTCCTAGTTGGCTCACACCCATTCCTGTTAGATCCAGTCCATATGTGGTATCCCTCTCTGCAGTATTTGGAAGAGGAGTGTTCCTGGGCATTAATTCACTGCATGATAACCAGACAAGAAAAAAGGCTGTGAGACCTGGGCCTGGCACAGCAGCGAAGTGTGAGAGGGCAGCACTGCTGTGGCCTCTGCTCCTCCTCTGGGGTGGGAAGGACTGGGAGGAGGAAGGATGGACATAAATCAGATGCGTTTGTGTTTTCTTGTTCCTCTAGATCTTTGAGGATTATGAAAAACTCCTTCATTCTGAGAATTATGTAACAAAGAGACAATCTTTGAAGGTAAAGTCAAGTTTCTCAGCACTTTCCTTCTAAATCTGAACTCTGTTATGCAAAATATCAAGATGCGTGTATGGCAATGGCGTAGCCATGTACTTTTAAACAAAACAAAAAAAAAAGATATAGGTAATTGGAGATGCTCTTCTTACAATGCACAAGAGCTTGCTGTGAATTTTATTTCCTGGATCTGTGGTGAAGCATTGGGCTGTTTTTCTTCTGACCTCAAATCTGTACTTGGTTCAGAATGTAGGTTCAAATGAACTTGCGAGTAATGTGATAGTCTCTGTCTGGTGCGGCTTGCTGCTACAGCACCAAGTCTGACATGACCTGCAGATGGGACCAGATAGGTATGTTAATGTAACATCCAAATGAAATGAAGGTGTCTTTGTGGGACAGCTGCACTATGGTTGCTTCTGTCCTAGATGGCTCACAGCAGCTCCTATTACACCCAGCGCCTACATGGGATCCCTCTCTATTATTTAGCACATGAGCATTACTGGGCATTAAGTAACTTGCTGCATGATAACAAGTCTAGTTACTTTTTTTTTTTTTCAAAAGGTAGTGACATTGAAACCTCTTAGGCAAGCATTAAAATATGTTGATGCTTTCTTTGCATTCAGAAATAATGTGGTGAACTGAAAAAAAAGTTCTTTTTTGGTAATTGTGTCTATAGCTGCTGGGTGAATTGATTCTGGACCGACACAACTTTGCCATCATGACAAAATACATCAGCAAACCAGAAAATCTGAAGCTGATGATGAACTTGCTGCGAGATAAAAGCCCCAACATTCAGTTTGAAGCATTCCACGTGTTCAAGGTGAGCTAGTATGACCTGTAGAGGTGGCAGACTTTCTCTTTTCCTCATAAAAGCATCTTTCAAGGTGGGCAAGAGAAAGCCTGGAAAATTAAGGCAGAGGTTTGGGTTTACAGTCACTTCCAGCATTTGAGAATGTCTCAATGGAAAACCTTTCTATCACTCAGCCTCTGATTTCTGTTTGCTTTCCTTCAGGTGAGATCTAAAGCAGCATCATTTTAGTTTGGGCTGAGGTACTCTAGTAGTGATAATGTGGATGCTACAGGAAGCAAAATACACAACTTCTAGGTAGTATTCAGGGTACTTTCTCCCAACTCTTAGGTGATTCTGGGTAAAGGTAAAAAAAAGAATCTTAAAACTCTACATTAAGACTAAAAGTAGATGGTGCTGGCACTGTGCATCAGTGCAAACACAATTTGCTTTTAAAGTTATTAAAAATATTGGTAAATCTGAGCTTGAAATGTGTTCAATCCTTTTCTCCTTTCACAGCGATCATCAAAGCAGTCTTAAACAATTACCAGACACAACCAATGTTCCTTTTTTTGTGATGATTAATGTTAATAAGTGAAAAGTTTCCCATTTTCCTATCAAAAAAGTTCTCTGCTCTGGGACAGAGGTTGAGTTGGATTGTTATTATGCAAAACTCTCTTTAATTTGGAATTAACACGTTAATTTCAAACTATGTAAATTGAGTTGTTAATGCTTTTCAGAAGAGGAGTATTGAGCCTGAAAGGATATCCTTCCCCAAGATGGTTAAGAAAGATATCAGATAACACCAAAAAGCATGCTGTTGCAAAAAGGTTACGTCACCCTCCACAAATCCAGGGTGACTTGTTGAGTTTTATACTTCTGCCATTTCTGATTTGGAAAAAAGCTTTCAGATCTTCAGTGTGGAGGCTTAGAGGATGTGCAGCTTCACAAAAAAGCTTCTCATTTAAAAAAAAAAAAAAAAAGCTTCAAGGAGGATTAAAAAAAAAAAAATTCCTTCCCTGAAATAAGCAGCTTGGTAAGCTGTTCCCTTGCTGACTTCCTCCATAGTCAGCTGAACCACTGTGAGTAACTTCTACTCCTCCTCCTTATCAGGAGGTATGTGGCTCCAAGATAAGAAAGCAGTCAGGCTCAAACCACTTGCAGCCTTTGAGATGCCCATGGAGGTAAAGGATCAGAGGATTGGGCTCTCTTAGCCACTCTGTGAATAAATGCCAGGTTTTTATGTTTTGGGTTTTTTTTTTCTCCCATAGGCACGACCCAGGCCTTGGGAACAGCTGATTTTGCTTATTTTAAGAGGCATTTGAAAAGATTTGAAATAACTTGAAATTATTCCAGTATTGCAACCATTTCACACATTGCTGTTTCTCCTATTCTGCCTTCTCATTCCCCCCTTCATTTCCTTTTCCAGTATGTTGTCTCCAATTTTCAGTTAAGAGTGGAGATACTGTGGGCTTAGCCTTGCTTGACCACTGGCAATTGCTACCATGTGAACACAATGCTGAGGCCTTGGGGTGCCTAGCAAAACAAAGAGTGTGTGGTGGTAACTTTGTCTCTTCAGTTCAAGGAGCCAAACTGTCCTCAGATGCTAACTTCCATGAGATGTTACTGTTTTTTTCCAGCAGTGCCTGTCAGCAGCATTTAAACGGTGCCATGGTGTGCCTTACCCTATCTCACATGCATAGCGTTTGTTGTGGGGAAATTGCGGACTCGAGCAGAACTTGATCAGCTGGAAATTGCTCATTTATAACCACCAGCAGCACCCTAGAGTAATTCTAAGAGGTGTTGCAGAGCTCCTGTTTTAGGTCCTCACTGAGGATCTGGGTTAGCCAGATGCAGAAGCGTTCTGCTTCTGCCTGGTGGGCAGGGTAGGTATAAGGTATGTTATAGAAAATTGCATTGTTAATTAGCTTTGTAGTGCGGGTCAGAGAAGAGCATTTTCCTCTGATTTCACTTCTTAAATTGAATTCTAACTTCCTGAAGACTACCAAAGGAAGAAATATTTAAGAGAATAGGAGAAAACACTACTGACTGGGTGCTCTGTTCTGCAGTGTCCCTGCCTCCTGTTTCTGTTTTAATGTCCCTCAGCCCAGTTTTCTTGTCAGCTGCAATAATTCCATGCTAATGTAACTGGGAGAGAAACCTTGTCCTCCACTTTTCATCTCATAAATTTTAAACGGTGCCTGCATTTTTAAATTGTGCTTGCAAAATACCCATGCAGTACTGGTTGAAATTACAGTAGACTAACCTCGGTGGTTTGAAATCAAAGGTCTGCTGAGAAGCAGGTACTTGCTGCTCTGTCTGGCTGCCAGAATTTTTGGGTTTAAATTACCTGATTTAGATTTCACCAGTTAGACACATTTGAAATGAAAAACTAAGCATCCAGATTCCAACACTCCCATGCCCCAGCTGACCCAAAAAAAAAGTATACGACTCTTGCCTCCCTGAGGCAAATTCTAATTATTGAAGATTCAAAACTGTAAGGCAGAGATAAAAACAATGAGCACCTCTAGTGCAAAAATACTTTGCAGGAGCATTTTGTGGCTGCAAATGCCTGTAACCTTTCAAGCTTTGAGAACATTTCACTCATCCAGAATGCTTTGGGTGGAAAATTAAAGACAAACAGAACGCCCACTTGCAGTGCCTCCTTCCATTCTCCATTGAGGAGATGCCTGATCTTCCTCCTAGCTCCAGCTCCTTCTCTTCCTTTTGCCTGAGCAAAATGGAGCTTCTGCCTTGCAGCACCACCATCCTAGAGGCCTGTGGCTGCTTTGTAAAGCTGTGTGTCTCAGACAATGTATGAATGAGGATTAGCCAGTATTTAATCATTAGGAAAAGCTAACACACCTCACCCCTTTTCTCCTCCTCCATAAATAATCCAATGGGGTTGCCTAGCAGTATAGGCTTTGAGAGTCACTGGTTCTTCTCTGCATTGATTTCAGTGGAGAGGGCTGAGTGTTGAGCACGTGCGCTTTGAGGACCAAATGTTGGGAAGGGCTCTTCAGCTCCTGTGATGGATTTATGAGTTATTAGTGGAATCTGCTTTGAGTTTGCCTGTAGGGGACAGCAAAGCTTTCAGACGTATGTGAACATGGTGCAGGTATTCCTTTAACCTTATGCATTTAGAAATAAAGACTAATAAAAAGCTCTCTTGGCTTTCATATAAACAATTAGATTGAGAAAAACACCCTGTAGCGGTGATTTGGGATTATGCAACTTTCTTGTTCTTAAGCAGACATTTAGCAAGATTTATTACTGTTTAAATCTAAAAATAGAATGGGTACACTGTGTTTTGTGACCTTAGTTTCATTTTTCCATTCTCTTTCGTGCACATTACAGACCTACCACCAGCAGCTTGCTCGGCAAGCGCTCTCACATAATTTGACCGTACTGACAGTTTCCTCTTGGTACAAAGCTGAAACCACATTTGTGGGGATGTGTCTTCTCTGTTTCTTAGCCGGAGAGTTTATAGGACAAGAAGTGTTATGCGAAGCACTACACTACAAGCAACATGAACTATAAGGCAGTTTCCTGACACTGTAAGATTGTGTGTCACCCCAGAGTAAGACTTAAAATACCCAATTCGGGGTATCCAACCTCTGTAATCGCTTTTGCTCTGCTGTAGTCCCAGAGGGTGGTGATGCCTCATTATTAATTGTGAGGAAACAAGGTCAGATTGTCTAATCAAGTGATTTTGGTATTTGTTTGAAGAAATACAGTGTATGACTATTAAGGGAGAAGAGACCAACAGTTCCACTTTGGACACCTTTTGAAGCTTCAGGGTTGATTTTCATTCCAGGCCTTTTGCAAATATTCACAAAACAGAAGTGTGCTGAAACAGCTATTTTTAGAGTTGGAATACTAATACGAGTACTCTCTTTATTTTAGGTCTCTGTCTCTCTCCTCTATCTGAATGAAGTGCTCTAGAACATGCAGCCTTTCATAATAAAACCATAGGTGAAACAAAGTTCTATGTGAAGTGTTTCAGCTTCAGTTAAACTTCATTTTAGTAGAAATGTTCCAGATAGCATCAATAATGATTTCTGTTCTCAAGGATTTATCTCCTCCTCTATGACAACACAGAGTTATGAATGAGGGGGTTCTTTTAAAAGTAAAGTCTCGTGGTGGTCCTAATCCTGGGCTTTGTGAAGCTGATTAGTTGATACTGGCAGAATTTATTTTGTTTGCCTAGCTGAAGTATTGAATACAACTTCAGGAATTTTCTGGTCCTTTAACAGTCTTTCTTTACGAGTCCCTGTTGACACTGAGACTGGCAGTCAAGATGATCTTTTCTTGAATGTTCAGTTTGACAGTTTTGCAAGGGAAAGATTATAATCTATAAATAATCAAGCAGGAAGATAAACAGGATGTGATGTCTTCTATTAATCTAAGTTCTTTAATTATTTTCTATGGTAATACCAGTTGTAGGACCTATATGAAATGCTGGTATTTACTAGGTTTTCCACTAAAACTTTCCAGTTCTGTTTGCAGACCAGATAGCTTTTACAAGAAGATTGATTTAGATTTCTTCATTTTGAGAGTCAGCCTTCAGCTATCTGTATAAAGAGGCCTAATATTCATTGAAGGAAGATGTTCAGCACTTCAAGGTCAGGCTTTCTTTAATGGATCCCACGTGCACAGTAATCAGATTATTTCTGAAAATGTGGTCCTGCCAGTGTACTTGATGGTTTTCTTCTCCTGGTCACAAAGGGGGAACTGAACTCCAAAATTAAAAACTTCTAATGAAGATCTGTCATGGTTATTTTCCTCATCGCTGCCTGTAGGCTTACATACTGCTTTTCTCAAAGGAAGCTTGTCTAGGTGACCTGGGACTTACAACAGTCTAAATCCTGGAAGTATCTAGCCTCTGTCAGTGTGGTGACCTGCTGTACGTCAGCTGCATCGTGGGACTGCAGGAACCGAGAACAGGAACTGCCAAAGTCTCAGCTAGAGCCAAACATTCATACCCGGAAGATTTCAGGATTCATGTTCCCTAGATAAGGCATAGGCTGGAA